AGGCTGAAAACTCACTTGTTTAGTTTAGCTTTTGGTAGTTAATGTTCCCCCTTAGATAAAGGCAGCAGATCCAGGGGTCCATGGACACAGGGAATCATAGTAAACTGAGATGCTGGTGCTGTTGTCCCGCCGCTCGCACGCGATCACTCAGGTTTGTGGACGGTGGAGCGGAGGGATGCCAGATTGTTTCAGGGTGCTCCTGTGTCTGTGTGCCCTTTTGGTTCTCTCCTTTTAGTTAAGCTGTTATAGTCAGATTTACCGGAGTCATTAGCCACACTCTGGAAATGTTCACATTCTCTGTTTTACATACACTCAAACAAAATAAAACTAATTCCATCTCCCTTCCTTTTTCCGAGTAAACGACTGCCCACCTGCCGGACGGACACTGATGGATGATTGTCTGTGGAGCTCTCCTGCTATCCGCTTCAGACCAGTTGCCCACGCCCCAGTCGCTGCCACTTGCCCAGCTACCGCCACTTGACTTGGACTAGCTGCACACTCCCACTCTACACTGAAGTTTTTCATGGACTCCTAACTACTACTACTACTACTATTAATATTAGTAGTATAATAATTTTGGGCGGCACGGTGGCGCAGTGGGTAGCGCTGTCGCCTCACAGCAAGAATGGCCTGGGTTCGATTCCCGGCCGGGCGACCAGGGTCATTTCTGTGTGGAATTTGCATGTTCTCCCCGTGTCTGTGTGGGTTTCCTCCGGGTACTCCGGTTTCCTCCCACAGTCCAAAGACATGCAGTCAGGCCGATTGGATGTGCTAAAATTGCCCCTAGGTGTGAGTGTGTGTGACTGTGTATGTCTGTCTGTCTGCCCTGTGATGGACTGGCGACCTGTCCAGGGTGTATCCTGCCTTCCGCCCAGTGACAGCTGGGATAGGCTTCAGCACCCCACCGCGACCCAGAAGGATAAGCGGTTTAGATGATGTATGTATGTATGTAATAATTTTGTAGGTAGTTTGACCAGAGGAGGATGGGTCCCCCCATGTGAGCCTTGGTTCCTCCCAAGGTTTCTTCCTCAGCTCTGAGGGAGTTTTTCCTTGCCACTGTCGCCCCTGGCTTGCTCACTTGGAGGATTTACATTTCATGTTAAAACTTTGTCTTTAATGGATTTCTGTGAAGCTGCTTTGTGACAACATCAGTTGTAAAAAGCACTATACAAATAAATTTGATTTGATTTGATACTATAGCTGTTGAGCTACAGCTTCCTGCAGAGTTCTGTTCTAAACCTAATCTAGCTAACACATCCGATCCTACTTATCAACATGACTGCAAAACTGAACACTGCAAAACTTATCTGCACCACCTGTGGGTTGGTACTTAACTCTGCAGGAAGGCTGATCGCTAGGAACCGAGTTGGTGACCACAGAGCTAGCTACAGTTAGCAGTCTTTTCTAGCTGGCTAGCTACCCTTCAGAATTTCTACGGCAGGTTAAACTCTGTTGTAATGTGTCTGGGTGAGCTTAGCGTCGCTAGTAAGCTAACTAAGTTAGCTAAATAACGTCATCAAGTTTTCACCAAGAGACTTTTTTGATCATTTTTTAATATTTATTTTTTAATACTGCTTGTCACGCTTGCACTATTAGCAAAACAATATGGATAACACAAACGCCGTTTTCCTGCTATTCAGCGTCTGGGTTTTTTTCACCCTTACATAGACTCCTTTGATTGGTCACGAATGGTCAATCTCACACTGACTCCAGAGTTCTTGCTACCCAGAACTCTGTGAAGCAGTTTGAAATCTTTTTCTTTAACCATGTGGCTTCACTGTTAGCCACAACAATTAAACCTTTAAAACACATACATTGTTGGTCATTTTTGAGAACACCCCCCATGCCAGATCAAGTTCAAAAGTCTGATACAAGCTAGAAGTGAAAAAAAAAACTGAAAACGAAAAAATAGCCTTTGAAACAGTAAGAAAAAGATCTGAAATCAGATAACAAAATCTGTAAATGAAAATGATAGGACATCAATATCAAAATGTGTGAAACTGAAGAATCAATTTATTGAAAAACTTCCAGAATTGAATCAAAATTATATTTAAACTAAAAAGAAAAAAATCACTTTTACTACACTTTTTATTGTGAAAACAATGTTGTGTTTTTCAAAGTTTAAGCTCAGTTTTATTATTATAATTTTTCAAATTAACAAAACTGTTGTCCCAGAATTGGCTCCACATGACCATGGCAAAACTCACATGATAGCAATTATGGTAAATTTGCTTTTTTTTTAAAAACAATTACAGTAAAATGACAACATTTGCTAACTTACAAAATAATGAAACAAATTAAACAAATCCTTCCTCCCCAGAAAAAAACCCTGTTATACTGCATGGCTCAAACTAGACACAACGTTGCAGTTAAAACTACAAAAAAAAAATGAAATCTTAAAGAAAGCGGTAGTTACAGGCAAATATGGGATCCAGTTTGTCCTAACCATGACTTCTACTGATCCTGAATAGTCAGTCCTAATCATGACTTCTCTTGACCCTAGATAGTTTTACCTGTTCAGGTATTGCTTCTGCATTGGCCATTAATCCTCTAGTTAACAAGATTCACCATTAGGTTGCCCAGTTTCTCCTATAATGGCCCTGGATTACCATTAAATCATCTTCAAGGTCAAATCAGATTTTAAAAATGTTATATACAGCCTCAATCTCAATTATGTACAGTCAGGTCCATAGAAATTTGGATTTCAATGAAGGTATTGTGATTTAAGCTGCACTACAGCTACCACAGCATGTTGGAGTTGAAATTAAATAATGAATATGAGTTCAAAGTGCTGGTATTCAGCATCTGGTGATGTCTGTGGGTTCCAGATTCAGGCGGTCAAATTAAAAATGACAAAAAAAGCTAAAATGATAAAGCTGAAAGTCTGCACATTGATCTCATATTCATTATTGAATTTAAACTCCAATAAAATAATATATTAATATAATAAAAATAAGCTTGTTGACATCCAAATATTTATAAACCTGTCTCTATATCATAGTGGAAGCATAAATGTAGGTTTAACATCTCTTCATTCAGTTGCCAGCCAAAACATTTTTATTTAGAATATCCATACTACCCTTACCTTAAACCTAACCCTCACCTTAACTTCAACCCTAAACCTACACCTACTGCTAAACCTAACCATAATGTTGTTAATAATATGGGTATGACCAGACTGTCTGTTAATAATCAAAATGTCTGTAGATCATCTATAGGTGACCATCAACAAAAAGTTTTTATTTTGCAGATCAATGGAGGGTGCTTTTTTACAAAGAAGGTAATGGAAGTTCATCATGAGCAGTTGACATGAAGGTATACACTTTTTATAAATGTCCTTATTGTAGATTTCTCAAGACTCAGCCTCTCTGGGATGCTCTTTTTTATACCAAATCATGTTACTGACCCGTTGTCAATTAACCACCAGGTGTTTTCTTCAGCATTACACAACTTTACCAGCCTTTGTTGCTACCATCCCAACTTTTTTGTTGTTGGCATCAAATTCGAAATGGGCATATATTTTCAAAAAACAATACAATTTCTCAGTTTCAGCATTTGATATGTTGTCTTTGTACTATTGTCAATGAAATACAGGGTTTAAATGATCCACACATCATTGCATTTTGTTTTTATTTACATTTTGCACAGCGTCCCAACTTTTTTGGAAATGGGGTGGTACTGTGACTTGTTTATTAAATACTATGCATGACACAGTAACTTATATAAATTTTTCAGTAACTATGGGAAATATGTTGCAATATTAAGCTCAAAATATGACAATAAAGACCCTGTACAGTTCTACAGCTGAAGACTTGTATAACAGAAGATTGTCAAAAAATTGTCTCCAGTCCCGAAATGATTGTGTTGTTAAAAGGAAATGTGATGTAACACAGTGATAAACAGAGTTAAAAACATATCTCTTTAACTTAGCAATTAATTAAAACTCTGTGTCTTGTGGTGTTTGTCTTCTAATTTGATCTGTTCCATTTTCTTCTGATACTAAATAAATACTAATGATTTCTTGTATAACTATGTTTTATCACCTGTCTGTAAAGCACAAAATCGTTGACTGGATGATAACGATATTTATCCAGGAAAAGAAAACAAATCATTATCCAGGATGAGGAGCCACTTACGAAAATCATATTGTGCATAAATGTTACATCCAAGTGTACATCTGTAGTAACTGAGGGGTTAAACTAGTGTCTCAAGTGGTGTAGCCCTGATTTACTGACTAACTGAGACTCATACAGAGGACAGGGACTAGATGAAGCTTCATTTCCTGTTCCACCTTAAATGATGCAGCAGTTATGTTTAGATGCCTGTACGGATGTTACTTCAGTGCATTGGGTCATTACAGGTAATACATATATAAACCATAAATGTTTCATGTCCACCGTGGCAATATGCTTTAGCCTACAATGATTAGATTTAGGTGTTTAAGATTGCTGTGTTGTTTGTCCTTGTCTTCGCACATCAGCTATTCGATTTAACATTCATGTCATATTCATTTGGGTCTGCCCGCTGTGGCAGCAACATGTTTTCAGTAATTATCAGGTTTTAACTTTGTAGGTTTAACATTGTACATCCCAGCTGTCTGATTTTAACTTAGTTTTGTCATCTTCTCTGTGTAGAAGTTGTGTCTATGGTGAGCTGAAGGTGCTGCAGTGTTAGTTGTTTGTGTGAATCCAGCTTCCTGATTGGTTGCTATTGTTTTGTGTAGGGGTGGAAGTGTTGGAATATGTAGGGTGACGACTGCACTGCTCCTAGGAATAGGCTATGGCCTGATGTCATGACATTGCAGAACATCAGCGCATTTTGTGTGTGTGTGTGTGTGTGTGTGTGTGTGTGTGTGGGGAGTGTGGGCTGGTCTGCATCATGTAAGTCTGAAAACCTACTCTAACCTTGGCCATGCATATTTTGATCTGGTGAACTATTTGATCTGGTGTTAAGTATTGACTGCTAAATTAAAAATCTACATTTTTTCTTCATAGAGATTCCATCAATGTCCATCTTAAATTCTTGTAAAGAAAATCAAACATGTGAAAGTGTTTGGGTGCTCTACACAAGTGCATTCTTGTGGATGATTCCTGCAGTTCTTGCATTAACTTTAAGTATATTTATGAGCATGTACTTCTACTTGAGTAAAAAATCTAGGTCATTCTTCAACTTTTACTTGAGTATTTATGTACTAGATTACTAGTACTTTTACTTAGGTAGGGGACTTGCGTATCTCTGCCACCTCTGGTTTTTTTGTTTGCTGTAGCATGTCAAAAGCACAAAAATATCCATAATCTTATCACACATGACCATTCGAATAATGCTCCCTGGCCTTTAATTATTACACTTTATCGACAACGTAAACATTTTGGGCACAGTACAGGTTTACACTACCTACAACAGATACTGTGGCAACCTGCGAAACAGCAAAGCGCTTGGTCTTGCTGTTATAAGCAACACAACTGTATTTACCACTCTGATTCTTTCCAAGGTTTGTGAGGACTAGCCTACTGCCTTTCTGGGGAAGCTCATCACCATCAAAAAGCCACTTAAGCTCAGCTGCAGGGCTGGAGATGGCCGAGCATAACAGCGTAAGATTGGAGCCTTCCTTCAGGACTACATCATCAGGCACTTTGTTCAAAGCAATGCTCTCAGGACCATCTAGAAAATCAAAGAGTGACAGTTACGTATGATTAAAGTGCCAAAGTATGATAAAGTTGGACTGGCTAAAAAAAACATTTTAGGTCAGACCAAAATTTAATATGGGAATTACTGCATTTATTTGGAAAACTGTAATCATTTATATTTCACACATATTTAAGCATTTGAAAATGTTGTGATTAATAAAAGTGATCACTGTCCAAAGTCCTCCTATCAAAGGGTTACTTAAAGGGGAATTCCACTGATTCATTAAAATCTCTGTACAATTAAATAGTTAAGATGTAAACAAAGTTATTTAGAGTGGTTTGATGCGAAATGCTCCATTCTAGAGAAACTTAGCAAGTCAGAATTGTTCACAATGATAAGAACCAGACCTCTGAAGAATTGAATGCCTCTAAAAGCTTCCTCACTGGAAGTTATTACAGTTAGAGCCATAATGATATTAAGAAAAGGAAATGTGATGTAACACAGTGATAAACAGAGTTAAAAACGTATCTCTTTAACTTAGCAATTAATTAAAACTCTGTGTCTTGTGGTGTTTGTCTTCTAATTTGATCTGTTCCATTTTCTTCTGATACTAAATAAATACTAATGATTTCTTGTATAACTATGTTTTATCACCTGTCTGTAAAGCACAAAATCGTTGACTGGCATTTTTGTCAGAGCACAATTTATATATATATATATATATATATATATATATATATATTAGGGGTGGGACTCTCTAGGCACCTCATGATTCGATTTGAGGGCTGCGATGCGATTATAAAATGATTATCGATGCATCTCGATGCATCTTTTTTTTTCTATATAGCATTTATATTTTCTCACTGTGAGCTCAAGTTTCAAGTTCAAGTTTCAGGTTTATTTGTCACTTGCACAACATGTCAGGACATTTATGCATTGAAATGCTTGTGGTGAGGCTCAGCTAATCACTCTACAGAAAGTAAATAAGTAAAAATAAAAATAAATGAAATTAAATACACACAAAATATATACAGAATGTAGACACAATATACATTTTAAAGTGACTAAGTGACTCTGTGTTATTGTTTATTAAAGTGACTTGGTACTTTTAAAGCAAAGTATTTGTAATGATCCATAATGATTTTACTTCCAGTACCTTTTTTAATAAAACAAATGGAAGTGATGTGGCAAGTGAACTAGAAGGCTCTCATTCAGTGCTCTTGTTTGGAGCACGAGAAGCTGCTGCTACTCATTTGCGATAAAATGCGCAGTTACGGTGAAATAAGACCCAGTGGTCATGGATGTCAACGCAGCGCGTTACAGCTATTCTACCCGTTTTCTTTAGTGATTTTATAACTTCGGTTTTGGTCTCGTTGTGGAGACGGGAGGCGGGGGGTCGCTGTGTCAGTAAAATATCTTCGAGACGGGTCGTGTGCAACATAGCGAGAAAGCCCTGTTTCGCAACGACTCCGCAGACTGCAGGTCGCATAGCAGCGATGCGTTATTCGCATTTATAAGCAGCGCAGTTGGTTTCCTGGTACGTTAAATCTGCAACGAGAGACTGTCAAACACTAAAAAGTTGCGAAGATGAACTCTTTTGAATTGTCGGCGCCTCAGTCAGAATTTAAGGTGACACGGAAAAATTCGAGTTAGTTTTATTTTCGTTATTCGTCTTTTCGGCGCTAATAACATTTGATCGGACTATGGTAGTCAGTAAAGACTTACACATTCATGACAATACGACCACAGAGAGTGATGCACACCTGTTCTTTTGCGATTTGGGAGACATTTAACGCACCGCTATTTTGTGTTAATACCATAGAACTGAGACAAGTTTTTCAGTCGGAAGGAAAATCATGCACTTCTAGACCACACCTACATTCATGCACACGCCTCTGTTTTCCTCCAAAGCGTTTCAGTGCATTTAAATACATATTTTAATTGTTCATGCTAACAATAGACACCGCCAGACAATAAAACGTCAATAGCTCCATAAACACTGTGTCCATGCACATCTGATTAACTGTGTTATTTGCTCTAAATTATGGTTAGAAATACACACCACTTTAATTTAGAAAAAGGACTTTGAATAAACCTGTAACTAAAATGTACTTGCCAATACTTGTCCTAACAATACTGAGCGTACCTTACCTGTAAAAACTGATATTACCTGTATACTGATATAGCTAGTTAGCTTGATGACGAAGGTTCAGTAATCGATTAGCAGTCTTGAAGGTTCAATAGATCCTTAACCATCTAAAATATTAGTTTAGAAAATGAGAGTGTAGAAAAGAAAACGTCTTATTTAAGTGGATCAAATTGCAACTCTAAAGTTTTTTAAATCCATCAGAAACTCAGTGAGTCAGACTTGTTATTTTTTCCATTTTCAATTTCGACATTTTAGATATTGAACATTTAAAATACTGCTTAGATTCAAAGTGCAGCATTCACTGCAATTAATACAGCTGAAATGCCTTTGAAGGTTAAAATACAAATATTAATATAAAGTAATTATTGCAGTACATTCAAAATTCAAAAGTTGTGTATGATTGCTGAAACCTCACTGCACCATACACAATTGTTTGTAGTGTCGCGTGTAATACAGCTAAAATATTATTAAAATTCAAAATATATAAAAATTAATAAAAAGTAGTCACAGCAACATATCCAAAATCCAAAAGCTGTGCATCATTGCTGACACCTTGGTGCACCATACACAACTGTTTTTAATGTTGTAAATAAAAAGCTGAAATATTATTGAAATTCAAAATATAAAAGAAAATAATAAAAAAAATAGGTACAGCAATGTATCAAAAATCCAAAAGCTGTGCATCATTGCTGACACCTTGGTGCACCAAACACAGCTGTTTTTAATGTTATAAATAATGCAGCTAAAAGATTATTGAAATTCAAAATACATAAAAATTAATAAAAAGTAGTTACAGCAATATATCAAGAATCCAAAAGCTGTGCATCATTGCTGACACCTAACTGCACCATACACAGCTGTTTTTAATGGTGTAAATAATGCAGCTGAAATATTATTGAAATTCAAAATACATAACAATTTATAAAAAGTAGTTACAGCAATATATCAAAAAGTCAAAGGCTGTGCATCATTGCTGACACCTCACTGCACCATAGACAGCTGTTTTTAATGTTGTATATAGTTTAGCTGAAATATTATTGAAATTCAAAATACACAAATTAATAAAAAGTAGATACAGCAATATATCAAAGATCCAAAGGCTGTGCATCATGGCTGACACCTCACTGCACCATACTCAACTGTTTTTAATGTAAATAATGCAGCTGAAATATTATTGAAATTCAAAATACATAACAATTATTAAAAATTAGTTACAGCAATATATCCAAAATTTAAAGGCTGTGCATCATTGCTGACACTGCACTGCACCATACACAGCTGTTTTTAATGTTGTATATAATTTAGCTGAAATAGCTTTATACTTTATATTAATGTTTATGTATTTTGAATTTGAATAGAATTTCAACCACATTACATACATCACTAAGACCATTGTATATGGTTCAACAAGATGTCAGCAGTCATACACAAGTTTTGGATTTTGGATATAGTGCAACATCTCATTTAAAAAAATAATTATATATAACTATATATAACTGCTTTATATAAATTTTTATTTATTTTGAACTTCAATAATTCAGCCACATTACATACAACACCAAAAATAACTGTGTATAGTGCAGCTAGGTATCACCAATCATACACTTTTTTTTGGCTTTTGGATCTAATGCAATATCTCATTTAAATATTTTTTTTGTATAACAAATATATTTTTTATAAATAATTATTATATTCCCATAACATTACATACAGCACTACAAAGAATTGTGTACAGTGCAGTGAAGTGTCAGCAGTCATACACACCTTTTGGATTTTGGATATAATGCAATAAATATGTTATATATATATATATATTTTATTTAATTTGAACTTCAATAGTATCTTGCCCATCTTACAACACTAAAAACTACTGTGTATGGTGCAGTGCAGTGTCAGCAATGATGCACAGCCTTTGGATTTTGGATATAATGCAATAACTACTTCATATTAATTATTTATTTTGAACTTCAATAATATTTTGGCCATCTTACATAAAACATTAAAAAATAACTGTGTATGGTGCAGTGCAGTGTCAGCAATGATGCACAGCTTTTGGATTTTGGATATATTGCTGTAACTACTTTTTATTAATTTTTATGTATTTTGAATTTCAGTAATATTTCAGCTGCATTATTTACAACATTAAAAACAGTTGTGTATGGTGCAGTGAGGTGTCAGCAGTGATGCCACAGCCTTTGGATTCTTGATATATTGCTGTAACTACTTTTTATTAATTTTTATGTATTTTGAATTTCAATAATATTCCAGCTGCATTATTTACAACATTAAAAACAGTTGTGTATGGTGCAGTGAGGTGTCAGCAATGATGCACAGCCTTTGGATTCTTGATATATTGCTGTAACTACCTTTTATTAATTTTTATGTATTTTGAATTTCAATAATATTCCAGCTGTATTACACCCGACACTAAAAACAATTGTGTATGGTGCAGTGAGGTGTCAGCAATGATGCACAGCCTTTGGATTTTTTATATATTATTGTAATTACTTTTTAGAATTTTTTCAGTATTTTGAATTTCAATAATATTTCAGCTAAATTATATACAACATCAAAAACAGCTGTGTATGGTGCAGCAAGGTGTCAGCAATGATGCACAGCCTTTGGATTTTTGATATATTGCTGTAACTACCTTTTATTAATTTTTATGTATTTTGAATTTCAATAATATTTCAGATGAATTATATACAACACTAAAAACAGCTGTCTATGGTGCAGCAAGGTGTCAGCAATGATGCACCATCTTTAAATTTTGGATATATTGATTTAACTTTTATCAATTTTGAATTTCATTAGCATTTCAGCTGTATTACACCCAACACTACAAACAATTGTGTATGGTGCAGGTAAGTTACAGCAATCATACACAACTTTTGAGTTTTGAATGTACTGCAATAATTACTTTATATAAATATTTGTATTTTCAAAAGCATTTCAGCTGCATTAATTGCAGTGAATGCTGCATTTTGAATCTAAGCAGTATTTTAAGTTTGTGTGTCATTACTGAAACTTATCTGCACTAAACACTGCTGATTTAAATGTTCAATGTCTAAAATGTTATAGAAATTCAAAATGAAAAAAATGTACAAGATTTAAAACTTACATCTGACTCACTTAGTGTTTGATGGATTTAAAAAACTTTTGAGTTGCAATTTGATCCACTTAAATAAGACGTTTTCTTTTCTACACTCTCATTTTCTAAACTAATATTTTATATGGTTAAGGATCTATTGAACCTTCAAGACTGCTAATCGATTACTGAACCTCCATCATCAAGCTGACTAGCTATATCAGTATACAGGTAATATCAGTTTTTACAGGTATGCTCAGTACTGTTAGGACAAGTATTGGCAAGTACATTTTAGTTACAGGTTTATTCAAAGTCCTTTTTCTAAATTAAAGTGGTGTGTATTTCTAACCATAATTTAGAGCAAATAACACAGTTAATCAGATGTGCATGGACACAGTGTTTATGGAGCTATTGACGTTTTATTGTCTGGCAGTGTCTATTGTTAGCATGAACAATTAAAATATGTATTTAAATGCACTGAAACGCTTTGGAGGAAAACAGAGGCGTGTGCAAGGATGTAGGTGTGGTCTAGAAGTGCATGATTTTCCTTCCGACTGAAAAACTTGTCTCAGTTCTATGGTATTAACACAAAATAGCAGTACGTTAAATGTCACCCAAACTGCAAAAGAACAGGTGTGCATCACTCTCTGTGGTCGTATTGTCATGAATGTGTAAGTCTTTACTGACTACCGTAGTCCGATCAAATGTTATTAGCGCCGAAAAGACGAATAACGAAAATAAAACTAACTTTACCGTGGTCTCCCGAGGTGGTTTGATTTTTGTTGAAAGGACAAAATGTCTCTTCTGATCATTTGTGTTGTGACTCTTGATCTAACCTGGCTTTAATGCAGAGGGAGCTGGTCGGATTTCTCACTCATCCACTTGTGTTTTTGTTATATGCCACTACAGACTGTCCGGGCGCTGCACTTCCGCACTTCCAAGTTTCGCCTTTTGCATTCCGTCAACATTACGTTATAAATTAAATATTTAGAAAATAGATTTTTGACATTTGTGAATCGATTCAGATTTGTTCACGTCCGCATCGCGATGCGTTTAAGAATCGATTTTTTTCCCGCACCCCTAATACATATATATATATATATGTGTGTGTGTGTGTGTGTGTGTGTGTGTGTGTGTGTTTAACTTACCTTTACGTTTTTATCCCTGTAGAGGATGTGTAAACTTATTTTCACATAGAAAATCTACATAACATAGTTTGACCAGGGGCACCAAAACATGTGCATGCGACTGTATTTGGACATATGCATTTATATAATTGCACCCAGCACTCACAGCTAACGCTCAGGGTAAAGGGAGCGCTCATCACCGACTCCAGTTGATTCTCAGCGACGCAGTAAATTGGACCATGCAAGTCTGTGCGCAACACTTCGGTAACGGTTAGCTGGCTACCGTTCAGCACCAAGTGCTTTCCGTCCACAACCACAGGGGCTGAACCATTCTGCCACTTGTAAGAGACGAAAGAGCCTTTGGCAGAACAGGTCAGGATCACAGTGCTATTGAATTCCACAGCTTCAGGGAGGCTGGAGAAGATTGTCACATCTGCCACAGGCTCTGCAGGAGAAAAAGGAAACCACAAGTTTATCAGAAAGAACACAGATGGAAAGAGAGACCTATAGGAAGTCATTTAACACATGCAGATTTACTGTAGTAAATAAAATGTTCATTGGTAAATATAAAAATGCAAACAACTAATCTATCTATAACAAATGCTCTCCTGTGATTGTGTAAAATTGTGTGATAGATTTTTTTTTCCCATTATTCAATCATTTATTTTCCTTCTCCGAGTGCAGTCATTTCCCTGAATGTATAGGGACCATTCAGTCCAACAGTAAAAATTACATAAATAAATAAAAACAAGTTAATAACAATTTACTTACATTATGTTATGATCTATTTTAAACCAAAGGCATTAATGGTGATGATATTAAGATAAGTATATAAAAAGAAGGTGCCTGTGTGAGAAAATAATGCTTATTTTTTAAGTTTTTCTTTCAGTGTTTATTTTTTTATATTTCTGTTTTACTTTAAAGTGAAGTTGAAAGATTTAGATCATAAGTTTTTTAATTTGTTGAATAAACCTCCCCACCCCAAATGTCATTTAGTTACTGGAAAAACTACACTGTTAAAAAGATGGTTCTTCAGGTCAGTAAAGAAAATGGTTCTATATAGAACCAGGAACACTCAAAGAACCCTTTGCATGATTGAATGGTTCTTCAGATTGATGAAGAATATGTTGGAGATGGTTCTATGTAGAACCGTTTTGAAAAGGGCTCTATAGCACCAAAAAGGGTTCTTCTATTGTTACAAACTTGATATTGTAACAATAGCAGAACCCTTTTTGGTGCTGTATAGAACCCTTTTCAAAAAGGTTGTTTATAGAACCATTTTCTTTATTAAAGAACCATCTTTTTTAAGTTTTTCTTTCAGTGTTTATTTTTTTATATTTCTGTTTTACTTTAAAGTGAAGTTGAAAGATTTAGATCATAAGTTTTTTAATTTGTTGAATAAATTTGTTACATTTTCTAACTTAGTAGGAACATAACTTGGTAAAAAAATAAAATCAGGAATTAAAAAACTACACTGTAACTTTCTAGCAGCCTTCATTCAGCATCTACTCATATAAGAGGAACTGAAACTTGTTAGATGCTGTTCTTCCCTTTTTGTGATACTTTTGGTCTGAAACAAGAACAACAAATCTTGAAAGCAAATGTGTGACAAACAGCAAAGTAGTCTAGATGCTGTCACCAACAGAACAGAATGTAATCAAACAAAGAAAAGGAATTACAAGCATAATGTCAATGAACAAAATGGAATATAGTAAAAAGTATACACTATTCCTCACATACATACTGACTTGAGACAAATACACTGAAGCATTGAGATTTTAGCATTGAGAAGTGACCTACCCAGCACCTCCAGTGTAGTTTGCCCCTGATTTAAATTAAAGCCTGCGTCCACTAGGACAACTGAATATTGCCCAGCGTCCGCAGGATTTAGCGGTCCGAGCTGGAACTCATAGGTGGTCTGGTTGTAGACAACTCGACCGTTGTACGCGGGGGGGACTGTTACCTTTTCAGCAACGCGATCGTACACGGCAATTGATTCACCAGCACTGCTCACAAAAGAAAACTTTACCGCGTTGGGTTGGAATGAGGCTGGAACTGTTAAGGGGAATGTGGCATATTTTCCCTCCACACCGCTTATTTTCAAGGGCAGTAGAGGAGAGCAGGAGCAGCAACCTGAAAAAGAACATAAGTATGAACTGAGGGCAGTTCACAATAAGTAGGCCAGTTTTAGAGGAGTTTTAGACCTCCCCACCCCAAATGTCATTTAGTTACTGGAAAAACTACACTGTTAAAAAGATGGTTCTTCAGGTCAGTAAAGAAAATGGTTCTATATAGAACCAGGAACACTCAAAGAACCCTTTGCATGATTGAATGGTTCTTCAGATTGATGAAGAATATGTTGGAGATGGTTCTATGTAGAACCGTTTTGAAAAGGGCTCTATAGCACCAAAAAGGGTTCTTCTATTGTTACAAACTTGATATTGTAACAATAGCAGAACCCTTTTTGGTGCTGTATAGAACCCTTTTCAAAAAGGTTGTTTATAGAACCATTTTCTTTATTAAAGAACCATCTTTTTTAAGAGTGTAAATCATAAGAAATTTAATGTGCTTTAACTTTTGTACGTCTAATAGTTTTTGTTTTCCCAATATGTTATACTTAACAAATAAACAGTATATATGCATTAAAATGTGCAGTGGTGTGTTCTCTGAAGAGGATGTGTTAACTTATTTTCACTTAGAACATCAACAAAACATGTAATTTGATCAGGGCTGCCCAAGCTTTTGTGTATGACTGTAGCTACAGAGTGAAGATACCTTGCTAGAGTATGATTTAATGCCACTATTTTAACCAGCTGTTATCTGCTTGTCATTATGCCTTAACTTTTTAAAAATCTGAGTTTAATAAAAATAATATGCTACTAAACACAGGAAAAGAGAAGGAAAGAAAGAAGTTCGAAGAGACTGACAGAGCTGAAGAAGCAGGTCTGATTGAAAGCTAGTGAGAGTTGTTTAAAATCAATAAACCTGTGGGAATCCCTGGGAGTGCAGACCTCTACCATCCAACAGTCAGACACGGGTAGAGCAGCCTAGTCAAAGTGTTGTTACTTACATAAAACAATTATCAAAAATAACTTAGTAGAAACATAACTTGGTAAAAAATTAATGACTAAATCATGAATTAAAAAGCTACTCTAACGTCTTTGCAGATGCTTCATGCTGAATGAAGCATCTAATCATATAAGAGGAACTGAAAATTGTTAGATGCTATTATTCGCTTTTTGTGGTACTTTTTGTCTAAAGTAAAACTACACATATTGAAAGCAACTGTGCAAGCAACAGCAAAGTAGTCTATGTAATGTAATGAAACAAAGAAAAGGAAATACAAGCATAATGTGAATGAATAAAATGGAATATAGTAAAGAGTGTACAATATTTCTCACATACATACTGAATTAAGACAAATATATTGAAGTATTGCGATTATTTTTTTGGAGATATTAAAAACCTACCCTCCATCTCCAGTGTAGTTTGCCCCTGAAATAAATTAAAGCCTGTGTCCACTAAGACAACTGAATATTGCCCAGCATCCGCAGAAGTCAGCGGTCCAAGACAGAACTCACAGGTGAGCTGGTTGTAAAAAACTCGACCGTTGTACGCAGGGGGGACTGTTACATTTCCACCAACGTGATCATGCACAGGAGTTGATTCACCAGCACTGCTCACGAAAGAAAACTTTACTACATTGAGTTGGAATGAGGGTGGAATTGTTAAGGGGAATGTGGCATATTTTCCCTTCACACCACTGATTTTCATGGGCAGTAGAGGAGAGCAGGAGCAGCAACTTGAAAAAGAACATAAGTATGAACTGAGGGCAGTTTACAACAAGCAGGCCAATTTTAGGGGTGCTTTAGGCTTCCCCACCCCAAATGTCATTTAGTTACTGGAAAAAGTACACTGTTAAAAGAGATATGTAATTTAATATATATATACTTAATGTAATTTATTACATACTTCCTTTAGTGCTGGAACAGTGCCGTCTGATGGCCCAAAAATCATTTTAAAATTTTCTAACATTTTAAATCCAAACATATTATAGAGCTTATAGTTATACAACATATTGCAGCAAGTAAAATTTGAAAAAAATCTAGTGCTTAATTATAAAAAAAAATTATAAATAAAAAAATTCAATAGCTTCTTTACTGAAAGATTTAAATTTGTCAAACCAAATGCATTGAAGAGTATCTTATTATTGTAACAAACTAAAACATGTAGAATTTAAATTAGGTGTTGTGTTGCATTATATAGACCAAAAATTCAATAGCTTCTTTGCTGTAGGAGCCAAAATCATACAACTATAATTAAAGAGTGCCCTATTACTGTTTACTACACAAAGCAGAATTTGAAGAAAGCTCTGTGTTGAATATTAATTAATGTTAATTAATAAACTACAGCAAGCCAAATTTGAATAAACTTGTGTTTAAATTTATTTAATGCTTTACACATCAAAAATTAAATAACTTTTTTACTGTATGCCCTAACATTTTAATTGCATTAAAGACTGCCATAGTAATGCAACAGCTGTTGAATTTTAATTAACCTCTTACACACAATAATCAATACCTTCTTTATTGTTGCACCTACAATTGTGGAACCAAATGGATTACAGATGTTATAGTTTTTACAACTTACTACAGCAAGTAAAATTTGAGTAGTCTCATATTAAATTATAATAAACTTTTCATGAAAAAAAATTCAATAGCCTCTTTACTGAAGCACCCAAATTGTAACACAAATTGCAGTGAAATGTACCATATTATTGGGACTAACTTTAATTTTTAATCTTTAGGATTAATCTTTAACATTTTCTTATGTTTCTACTTTCAGTAGTATGATGCAGTAATAGGGCTCACATTTGGTTTTACAATTTTGGCTCCTACACTAAAAGCTATTGAATTTTTGGTCCATACAATATTAATTAAAATTAATCACAACACTTTGTTTGAATTCTGCTTGCTGTAGTTAGTCAATAAAGAAGTTACTGTAGTTTTTGCTCATGCAAAATGTATTTTAACACTAGGCTTTATTCCAATTTTACTTGCTGTAGTAAGTTGTAATAACTATAAGTGCTACAATGTGTCTGGATTTAAAATTTAAGGCCCTACAGTAAAGAAGTTATTGAATTTCTGATATTTAAAACATAATTTAAAATTCAACACAAGTATTTCTTCAAATTCTGCTTCCTGTAGTATTTTTGCTGAAATAAGCTGCAAAAAACAGGGCACTCTTATTGCATTTGGATTTACAGCTTTGAGCTCTACAGTAAAGAAGCTATTCAGTTCTTGCTTTTTAAAACATTGTTTTAATTCTGCTTTCTGTAGTAAGTTGCAGAAACAAAGCACTGTTTTAATACATTTGGTTTTAGAACTTTAGGGCCTGCAGTAAAGAAGCTATTGATTTTTTTGTCTGTATAACTTTATTTCAACACCACAAGTCTCAATAAAATGAGACTTTATTCAAATTTTATCAGTTGTGGTAAGTTGTGGTAACTACTAACTCCTTAATGCATTTAGGTTCATAACCATAGGGGCAACAGTATAGAAGCTGTTGGTTACTGTGTGTAAACAAAAAATAAAGACAATTCATAACAATTTGAATTCTGCTCCCTGGAGTTGGTTACAATAATGAGGTTTAGCAAATGTAGGCTCTTCAGTAAAGAAGCTATTGAATTTTTCATTAAGGAAAAATGTATTATAATTTAACACAAGACTTTATTCAAATTGAACTTGCTGTAGTAATTGTAATAATTATAAGCTCTATAATGTGCTTGGATTTAAATTGTTAGGCCTTACAGTAAAGACGTTTTTTTAAAGTTTGGATGTTTAAAATAATAAATTCAACTCTAGAGCTCATTCAAATTTGGCTTACTGTACTTAGCTGCAATAATAAAGCACTCTTTAACGCATTTAGTGTTACAATTTTTAGCCCAACAATTTAGAAGCTGTTGATTTTTTTTGTTGTTGTATATAAAATATTTAATATAGTTTAACCAAACACTTAATTTAAATTCTGCTTGCTTTAGTAAGCTGCAAAAACAGGGCACTTTTTAATGCATTTGCTTTTACAGTTTTGGCCCCTACATTTAAGTAGCTATTGAATGTTTTATTTCTGAAACATTTTTATTCATATAATATAATAATATAATTAAATTATATACATTAATAATTAATTAATAATTGAATAATATAATTGATAACATAATTAATATTCACCACAAAGCTTTCTTTAAATTCTGCTTTCTGTAGTAGGCTGCAGTAATAGGGCACTCTTTTATGCATTTGGTTTTATAATTTTGGCTCACACAGTAAAGAAGCCATTGAATTTTTGGTCTATACAATATTAATTAGAATTCAACACAACACTTAATTTTGAATTATGCTTGCTGTAGTTAGTTAATAATAATATTACCTTAACAATAATAAGCTACACTCCATGTCACGCATCTGGCGAAATCTCAGAATGAGACGGACTTCATTTTCCAGACTCCAATGGGAGATCACATGACTGAGCAACTTCCTTCTGACTTGGAGTCCGTGACGGACTCCATTGCCCACAATACTATGGGGCATCACATGACTTCTGAAGCTCTCTCGGGGACCTATCAGCGCTCACAATTTCCCGAGTACTAAATAGTTTCACCTGTGTATGTTGTCATATGACTAGAGCAGTTTAGTATATAAGCCCGGGCTTTAGTTAGCAACAGCGCAAGGTATTGGTTTTCTGAAACTTACTGAGCGGTATTCTTCTGATTACCTTTAACCTGTTTTCGACCATTGCTTTGTTTCCCTGACTCTGCATTTTGCTTAACCCTTTTGTAGTTTTGTCCATCGTGTTTGATCTTTCTGTGTTTTTTGGATTTGACGTCTGCTATTGGACCACGTTTTTGCCTAGCGATAATAAAACCACTGTTGTCCTTTTAATCCGCGAGTTTCTGGTTTCTGTTGATTCGTCACACTTCAGGGCATTTGGTTCGGCAAATTTGGGCCTTTCAGTAAAGAAGCTATAAAATATATTACAGATTAACGCTACACTTCATTCAAATTTTACTTGCTGTAGTGAGTTATAACAATTATAGCGCTATAATGCTTTTGGATTAAAATGTTGGACTAGGCCTTACAGTAAAGACGTTACTGAATTTTTGATGTTTAAAACATTAATGCAAATGAAACAGACTTTATTTAAATTTGGCTTGCTGTACTTAATAGCAATGGTAAGGCACTCTTTAATACATTTGTTTTTACTATTTTGGGCTCTACAGTTTATAAACTTATTGCATGTTTTGTACATAAAATATTAAGTATAATTCAACCCAACAGTTAATTTAAATTCTGCTTGCTGTAGTAAGCTGCAAAAACAGGGCACTATTTAATGTATTTAGTTTTACAGTTCTGGGCACTACAATAAAGAAGCAATTGAATTTAAAATTGTTAAAGCATAAATTAGTAGCCAACAAAAGGCTTTCTTTAAATTCTGCTTCTTGTAGAAAGTTGAAGTAATAGTAACCAATGCATTTGGTTTTAGAGTTTTGGCTCCTACAGTAAAGACGCTATTGATTTTTTGGTCTGTAATATCTGTAAATATAAATGAAAATTCACCACAACACTTTATGTGAATTCTGCTTGCTGTAGTTAATTATAATAATGGGGTACTCTCCAATGCATTTGGTTTGACAAATTTGGGCCCTTCAAAAAAAAAGCTATTGAATTTTTTGCTTTTGAAAAATCTATTATAATTTACCACTAGACTTTATTCAGATTTTACTTGATGTAGTAAACTATATTAATGATGAGCTCACTGCATTCGGTTTTGCAATTTTTCCCTACAGTAAAGAAGCTTTTTTATGTGTATAGAATATTAATAATAAATCAACACACGAATTTAACTTCTGGTGCTGTAGTATGGTGCAATTACAGTAGGGTCTTAATTGCTGTGATTACAATTGCTGTGGATTACAATTTTAAACCCTATAGTAAAGAAGCTATGATGTTTTTTATGCTTAAAACACAGCACAAGGCTTTTCTTCAAATTCTTCTTGCTGGTTGTAAGAATGTAGGCCTTACAGTAAAGAGACTGTTGATTTTTTAATATTTAAAACATTAATTAAAACTAGAGTTTATTGAAATTTGACTTGCTATAGTTAGTTGGAATGATAGAACAAATTTTAATGCCTTGTGTTTTACAAGTTTGGCCCTTACAATAAAGAAGCTATTGATTTGTTTGATTTTATGTGTATAAATTATTAATCATAAATCAGCACAATACTTAATACTTAATTTATGTATTTTTTTTTATTTTGCTCTCTCTTAACACTACTGACACTGGAAGTGCGGATGTGTGTCAAATCTCAATTATAAAACCAACTTCATTGTGGTCTCTGACATCTAGACTGAGATTTCTTACATCATGTGAATTGCTCATAAACATTACAGACTTCCTGAGGTAAACTGGCATTACTAATTACATCCAAATGGGACTTGAGAAGGTTTTAGGCTAAAACAGATTACAAATGAAACATGGTTTTCAGTGACTCATGATGTTTAATTGTTAATGTTGCTGAACTGAACTGAAGTCATAAATAAGGTTACTTACTAATTGCTGTGAGAATCATTAGAGGAGCTCTCAGGCTGAAAAGGTCCATTCTGAGCTCTGCGTGTCTCTCGTCCACAGACAGGAATGTGCTGTGTTGATTCTCTCTGTCACTTTAGCTTGGTTGAGAGCAAGAAGACACACCCAGATAAGCTCAAACCCGCCTAGTCTCAGTTTCTCTCTCCGTCTCATAGAGGTTGGTCTTAAGGTCTCTGCTGCTACTGGCGGTGTTTGCTACAGTAGATACAGACACAGATAGGCTGAGGAGTGTCTGACCGATGCTTCATAGGCTAATTTTGCTGGCAGGAAAAATCTTGTATTGGCTGCAAAAAGTCAATTTTGTTTGATTATTGTACCCAGTACTAAAACAGGAGTTGAGAAAGTAGAAGCACTTAAATTTGTTTTGTGTTAATAAAACAATTAAAACACAGGCCACTTCATTGCTGAGTGTATATTGACTAGAACCAGTCCAACATTAAACTTTATTTCTTAGAAAAGCTGCCTTGTCTATATGAAAAGTTAATTTGTGGCAATTTTTACCTATTATTAATCGAAACATTACTGTCTGCTTAGAAACCACAAAAACAATATGGGCATCTTCATAAAGGAATCTAATCTTTTAACCTTACCAGAAATTATGATACACCTTTATGCAATATAAAAATGAAATACTAACTCTAGCTGGATGTATTTTTTGTCCATTTGGGAAGAAAAGAAGAGAAAAATGCTCCTTGAAATGTGAAAATATTGTAAAACATTACCACACTCATTAGCCAGATAATAGGATAATAGACCCTTCTCATTATTTCAAAAGGCAGAGCGATACCACTATATCCTGCTGGGCAAAAACATAAAAAAATAAAAGCTTAACTAGCATTTGAGGGAATGAAAGATCAGAAAGAATATAAACATGTGGTGTATGTTACTGCAGCCCTGACAGAACAGTTTTGACTTTACTGGTTTGAGTGATATCTCCACTCGTGAAGATCTATGACAAAGCTGTGGCAGGTATTGGAGCTGTCAGTGGAAATACACTTTCCATTTGTTCCTCCTTAGGTCAGGCTGAATTTCAGAACTCTTCCACAGCCTGGGTACTTTATGCCCCTTTAAATAACAGTTGAAAGAAATTGAGAGCGTTCTGATTGGAGCTTTTCAGAAATCAGATTCCTCTTTTGCTGACAGTTTGATCATCAGTGTCAAGAGGGTTACTGTGAAGGTTTAAAACCCCCAGTTTTCAGTGCTCAGCTCTATGCAAACTGTGCTTGCAGGAAAAATCTTGTATTGGCTGCAAAAAGTCCATTTTGTTTGATTATTGTACCCAGTACTAAAACAGGAGTTAAGAAAGTAGAAGCGCTTAAAGTTGTTTTGTGTTAATAAAACAATAAAAAGCTGACGGCGGCTTCACACCACTTTGCAGGCCTTCATTGACTTAGGGGTGGCAGAGAGCTTTCTTGATGTCATGTTGGCTGCTGACCTGAGCCTGCCCATTGAGCCACTGGAGCGTCCCCTACCAGTTATGGCCATTGATGGCCAGTCCCTGGGTTCCGGGCCCATTACTCAGCGTGCTGGGCCAGTCACTTTGCGAGTGGGCTCTCACAGTGAGAGCACTGTGCTGTACCTCACCCAAGCCCCCTGCTTACAACTGGTGTTGGGGTTCCCTTGGTTAAGACAGCACAACCCTCACATTGATTGGTCCACACAGTCTGTATATGTGTGGGCCCCCTGGTGTAATGATCATTGCTTGGTCGATCCTGGCCCCCTACAAAGGACACCCTCCCTCAAGGGTCCCACCTTGCCAGACCTTTCAGGAGTCCCCAGAAACTACTGGGACCTCCAGGAGGTCCTCAGTAAGGATAAGGCCCAGGTCCTGATGCCCCACAGGGAATTTGATTGCGCCATCAACCTGCTCCCAGGAACCACGCCACCCCGCTTCATGGTCAGTTGTTTGCGCTCTCACCCCCTGAATGTACTGCTATGGATGAATACATTCGTGAAGCTTTGGAGCTGGGTTTCATTTGCCCATCCTCCTCTTCCGCAGGAGCAGGCTTCTTCTTTGCCGGAAAGAAGGATGGGTAACAATGTAAAAGACCGCCACCCTTGCCTCTCATGTCAACAGCGTTTGAGGCACTGCAGCAAGCTACCATATTCACTAAGCTTGCACAGTGCTTACAACCTCATTCGCATTAGGCAGGGGGATGAATTGAAGACAGCGTTCATCACCCCCACTGGGCATTATGAGTACTGGGTAATGCCCTTCAGGCTTATGAATGCCCCAGTGGTCTTCCCACACTTCATTAATGAAGTCCTGAGAGAGGCCCTGGGTCATTATGCATACATTATGTCTACCTCGACAACAAACGGTCAAACGCCTTGGATGTTGGTGTGGGAGCAGTACTCTCCCAACACCTAGGTCCAGCCAAGAAGCTCCACCCATTTGCATTCTTTTCACACCATCTTACACCAGCTGAACGCAACTACAATGTTGGAGACAGGGAGCGACTGGCTGTTAGGCTCACCCTGGGGCAATGGAGGCACTGGCTTGAGGGCTTGACTGACTAAACATCCCTTTGTGGTCTGGACCAACCACAAGAACCTGGCCTATATCCAAAAGGCAAAGTGGCTCTACCATTGCCAAGCCCAATGTGTGCTGTTCTTTAGCCGCTTTGACTTCCTGCTGTCTTATAGGCCAGACTCCAAGAACACCAAGCCAGATGCCCTGTCCAGACAGTGGATGCCTCCAGGGGCCGTCCCAACCCATCATTCCCGCTCCTCAGATCCTGGCCCCGCTCCGTTGGGAGCTGGAGACCACCATCAGGGAGGCCCTGCGGCAGGAGCTTGATCCCGAAGGCGGTCACCCTGGAAGGCTCTATGTGCCTTGTCAGGACACCCAGGGGTGACTAGGACCCTGGACTTTTTGCGCAGTCATTTTGGTGGCCTAGTATGGAGAGAGACCTCCATGCCTTTATTGTGTCTTGCGAGACATGTGTACGCTGCAAGGCGCCTAGGTCACAGCACCAAGGTCTCCTTCACCTGCTGCCCATCCCTGCATGTTCATGGTCTCACGTCTCCCTGGACTTTGTCACAGGCCTACCCCCCTCCAAGGGCAACACGGTCATCCTGGTCCTTGTGGACCGTTTCTCCAAGGCATGCAATTTGTGGCACTACTCAAGCTTCTGTCTGCCAAGGAGACAGCGGAGCTACTATTACAGCACATGGTCAGGATTCACAGCATGCCTAGTGATGTGGTGTCTGACCGGGAACCCCAGTTTGCTACTCATTTTTGGAAGGCCTTCTGCCAGCTCATGGGAGCTTCTGTGAGTTTCTCCTCAATTTTTGAACATGCTATGCTATGTGAAAACCTATCAGCACAACTACTCAGATATCCTAACAATGGCCTATTTATTTTTTAAAGAGGATGGTATAGTTTGCTATGGCTACATCATAGTTGGGCGTTCTAAGTTTAAACCCTTTTACATAATAGTTATCCGCAGCTCAGCTTCAATTAAAGAGGACTTCTGCTGATTTTCAAACTTTCTGTATAATTAAGTGGTTATAAGAATATAAACAAAGCCATTCAGAGTTGTTTGATGTGAAATGTGCCCTTCCTAGAGAAATTTCAGAATTCAGAATTCTTCACAGTGGTATTGATATGATATACATTGTATTATGATAGTTTTTTCAGATTTATCCCTATTTTACCATTAGGAACATTATATCTAAAAACTCAATAGATGTGCAGGTTATAAAATATTTTTGCATTGTAGACATTGGAACCCCTGGTTCCTATCACCAAAACTGTAAAGAAAAAGAGTCTAAGTTTTTCTTTAATACACCATTTCGTATCAAACCACTCTAAATGACTTTATTTACATCAATATGATTGAATTATGAAGAAATTAAAAAGAAAAAAAATAAATATTTCAATTTAGCTGTAAGGAAGCATGCTCATGGAAGGAGTAACACAGAAAAGCTGAAGTACGATAAATGTGTTCCCTGCATTTCTCCTATACACTAGAACATTAGAGAGGTCAGGTACTGATGTTGGATTATTTTTTGAGACTACTGGCATTCAGTGGTATGCCCAAATTTATCTCATTGGTGCTCCCACAATATACAAATTCTACAAGCTGTGTGTAAGAGTAAAACCTGTGTCAGCAATAAGTGCACCTAAGGCCCAATTTCACCCCTTGCCCCTACCACTTAGCCCTTACCCCTCTGTTCTGCACATTTGCATCTAGGGGTAAGGTGTCCTGATTTTTGTAGATATAAAGTGGTAGAGCGAAGTGTTAGGGAAACATGGCCCTCCAAATGGAGGAGATCAAAAATTATAGAAGCCAGACAGATCTCAGATCAGAAAACCAAACAGTCCTCAGATCAGGTCAACAATTAATAAATCATGAAAGATAAAGCAATATTAAGTTACCTTGAATTTATGCAGTAAGTACTACTCTACACGACACTAGTAAGAAATGGCTTCTGCCATTCTCAAAGCAAGGACTGTGTTATAAAGTCTTATACAGCTTACATAGCCTTCAAAAGGTTAATGTGGTTAATGTTTATTTATGTAGTTCCTCTGCGATGGACTGGCGAGGGAGATTATGTATGTATGTATGTATGTATGTAGTTCCTGATAATCAGTGACAGTACTGCCATCTTTTATCACATCAGAAGGGGAAAGAAGTGAGACTCTGTGCTGCCCACAAAGCTTCCATTTTCTGTCAGTAATGATCAGAGAAGTCGACTGAATGTAAAAAAGTGAAAACTTTAAGATGTAAAAAAAGGCATTCAGAGTGTGAAATTGTTCATTGTAGAGAAACTTACCAATTCAACTCATGTTCTTTAGAATGCTGGCAACACGAAACAGGGCTTTTGATACTTACAACCATTTTAGTTGATATCTAAAATGATCAGTGAACCTACTCATGTGGGTTTTTAGATGTAATGCTGATAATGGTAAAATAGTGGTACATCTGAAAAGTAGTTTTCTTTGGGAACGATTTAGCTCTGCATGTACCTCTCCATCATAAAACATTTTCAAAAAAATATGTCTTAGGCCAAAATCTTCTCAAAATAATTGTAA